ATAAAGTGGACAAGGATGGAAAAGGAAATGTGGAGCAGAGATAAGAGCCAGTAAGAGATCAGGACCGATACAGTAAGACAAACACGGGTGAATATCAAGACGGAGCAGTGGATGGCATACATGAAGGGGCTTGAACTCTGTTGACTCCACATGATAAATCACCCAGGATTCACAGGGACGTCAACAACGTGTCCCAAAGCGTCAGAGCTGCGGCGGCTGCATTAACAGGAGATGGATGGAGATGTACAGAGTCCTGGTGTACACGCACTCATGCTCTTTGCTCTTCGAGGCACCATCCGTCATGATTCCAAACCCACGCGTGTACGTACACATCCATCAGAGACGCACTCAGGATGACTAAAAGCAGGAAATCAGTTATCTGTCCCAGAAAACAACAGAGCACCACGTCTCAGAAGAAGAAAAATGAATGAATATTTAAATTACGCCTCTGATTAATGTCAGTTTCACATCATCTTGACAAGGACACAGAGGTTTTTTTTAAAGACATCAGACTGGATTAGTAAAGTAAACAATCACCAGGGCAACGGCTATCGCCAAACTTGTGCTGAGTCACACGGCGGCTGAAACCTGAAGAAACACAGACCTGAACGACAGCCATTGAAGATACAGTTGTGGATTCTATGTTCCTAACTGGACATTATAGAAATCAGGGGTTCCAAAACTTCCTGTTCCAAAAAGTCTGTTTGTCGTTGTGGCACTGATGGACTGGTGAACTGATCGTGCTCAACCCATTCTTCGCCCCAATAACAACAGGATTTGGCATCAGCCTACCCATTACTTCTACGGGAGAAACATGATTGTGAATACAACAATTAATCAATAAGTTGGTTGGTTTAACAGTTATAGTATTTCAGCCCATAATTGCAACAACCTGAAGAGGGTTTCCCATATAAAACATTTTGTACTCTTAAATGTAAAAGTCTAAAATATGGCACAACTTCAGCTGCAGACCTGAGAGCAGGAGAATCTGTGTTCAGCATCAAACACGTGACTGCCGAAAAACTTCTGCTGCCGTCGGACTGTAATCAAATCAGCCAAAATGAATGGGACTGTGTGTGCGCTGGCGTGCGTTAGAGTGCGTGTGTGGCACAGTTTGAAATGTCAGGGCCCGATTGATTTCTTCTCCCTCTGATTAATTCATCTTACCCTCTAATGTTCTGCATAGAAAATTGTTGAATGGCATTCAGCAAGATTAAAACCACAAACAGTGCTTTTCATAATTTGACAGGTGAGTGGCGGGAGGCAGACTCTTGCATGATTGCATCATTAGGGTGAGTTTTTTTTTTTTCAAGGAGGAATTAGATGCACCACCAGCCACAGACCCCTTCCCCTCCTCCCCCATATCGTGATGCTGCTGGTCCACCTGTCAGCTCACTTAACAACGGTCAACAACTTGGGAGGTGGACACAGACACATCACACTATTGTTGTTCCGAAGAATTAAACTTCTTTTTCAATAAATGTTTCAATGAACAGGGAGCCAGATGACAGATCCTGCTTCGCTCTAACAACCAATTTAGTGGACGATGGTAAATATGACAGGGAGGCAAATCACGTGAATAGATAGGTTTGGATTAGTTTTGTGTGATTGGCAGCTGGACTGCCCAATAGGAGTGAGGAGACGTCCGTGACATCAACTAAAGCTCCAGTTGGGCTTCAACATTAACATAATGTTGTATTAAAGCATTTCTGAAACAGGAGAAAAGTTGAAGCTTCTGCTTTATATGGGATTTCTAGTGAGGATTACGCCATTTCAGCACATATGCTAACAAATCAGTGAATGTTAAAAATACAGTCAAAATGGAAAATGATTTTTTAGCGCCGCTAACAGTTTTGTAAAGACATCAACTTTAACAGTTTAATTAATTCTGACACTCGTTTTAAAAGAGAACTTCAAAATTTAAGTTAACTTGGAAATATTTTACTCAATGAAGCAAAACTTAAAAAACTAAAACAGCATATACCATTGAAAAAAAACAAAACAAAAACAAACAGTCATTCTTCCTGCTCCCAAGATACTCAACTACTTCACAAATATGGTCTCTCTCATTTTACCCTCCACCCCCTGTCGTACCCAGAATGCTTTGCCAGACATGAAATATTCAAAGGTGAAACCACGATTGTGTGGGAAAGCGATATGGCCTTGATAATAACCAGCAGTTTGTAAACACCCGCTCAGGTACGACAGCGCATTCACATCCACGCCGCCGCTGCTGTCGCCCATGTGATTCCTTATTCTTCAGTTTGAATGAAGAAGTGATAATACCAGCAGACTGCAGGCGTATTTGGAAAGTTTAATCATTCATGGTGGGAAAATTGCTCCTTTATGTGCAATAAATATTGATTCATACCTCATGCATATCTGGATGGTGGTGCAGCTCGCCAGATTCTTCCTCATTGTCCATATTTTTCTGTTTTGTTCAACGTAAATGTTTTTTTTTTTTGCTGGGTGGAACCCTTATCAGTTCAGGGTTTTGCAAAAATGACCTTGCTGTATTTACCGCCTTCGTTCCTGCTATTAGATAACCTCCACGCGTGTCTGCTGACTTTTCAGTCACTGTGGTTTATCATCTTCTAATTGTATAAACACAACTTTACATTTGGTAAACTTTTTTGAAATGACAAAAGAAACTGAAATGCACAGGTTGGTAATTCACTGGTATGATTATTTACCATAGACATGGAGAAACTTTTTGGATGGTTTTCACAAGCAGATATGACAACAATTATGCCTGCAACAAAAATTATGAGATTTTCCAAGCTCATAACATCTCAGTGGTAACTTGGCAGCTGGTGGATTCAAACCTGCAACATTCCAGACCCAAGTCTGCTTCCTTAACCACTAAGCCAAGATGTCTGAAACTTCACATGTTCTGCCTCTCAGTCACGGTCATGTCTCTGCAAGTCACACTGCCAAGTGTCATGTGGCATCGCAGGGAGCAGGCAGGACCCAAATGCAGTACTGGTGAGACTCTTTCTGGTGCAGGAAGTTTTATTAACAAAGTCCAAATTAACAAAACACGAAGAACTAACAGGCATGGGACTCTCGAGGAAAACGAGGAAAACACGGAAACACAGAACACGAGGAAACAGAGTAAGAAACTCACGAACACCTAACACAGTCACAATGATCAAACACACACAACCACAACCACAATGATCCAACGACCACAGAGTGAGGGAGAGGGGTATATATACACAGGGAAAACCAGGTGACACAAGTGAAGCTAATTACCAAACAGGTGAGTGTGATCCCATCAGATTACCCCACAAAGAACACAGGAAAACACGGAAACAGACAGACATGACAGCCAAGTCTTGCCTCTGTCCGAGGATCAGCGTGACAGAGGTGACAGAGAGTCTCAGTGGGACATCACACCATCAACTACAGCTGCAGATAAACGGAAGTCCGTCACGTTGTCCGTTACTGTCACCTTTGCTCCCAGGCGACACGGCCTCTCGTAAAAACCTGCTGTCATGTTTATTTGCTACTCTCTTTGGAGGCAGCATTGGGACATTGTCCTGGATGGAGCACAAAGAGGCACTGAGAAGAGAGTGATGGATCCCCCGGCTGAGGCTCAAACGGGGGCAGCTGTCACGGCACTCGCGTGGTCATTAGAGCGAGCTCCAAACACGGGTGGCAGCAGGATGACAAATCACAACAAACTCCCAGCACACCACAGCACTCCCACTCTCACTCTCCAAATCAGTGAGTGAACTGACACCGAGCGCCAGGACACTTTCTGCACAACTATGATTAAGTCATCACGGTGAAAACGGCACTTTGTCAGCAGCTGCGGTTTCTGCTGCACTTTCTTCAGACAACTCTGCCTTAATTGAGTATTTTCGTCCCAGAGAGTATTCCTGGCTGGCCTTTTCCCTTGGGGCTAAACAAACTGTAGTCTAAGCTAGCTATAGCAGAAGCTGGTTTGTTTTTTCTAACTGGGTCCTAATGTTTGGTAACTGTGTCGTGCAAAATTTACCCCATTGTAATTTGGGGGCCACTGCCTTTACTTTAATAATATTAAAATATTGTAATACACCACTAGGGTTGCAAGTATTTATTTATGACCTGTTCTTGAACACCATTCACAGAGTTCCATGTTGTCTGAGTAATATTTAGCTGAAAACCAGCAGGAGCAGCACACAGGACAGGAACGGACACTTTTTTAATCAGAGCAGTTCGGCATCACTGCTTCGAAAAAACTTTTTCCTACAGCATTCTTGCACACTTCCTGGTCCCGGGAGGCCCCTCCACCCACCCGCTGTTCACTTGGCTACAGCAGAGGCACCAGCTGATTGGCCAACCAGAACTCTCAGATGAGCTACTGTTCACCTGTACTCCGCTGTATAGCTGCCCAATTACCCACGTCCGCAGGGTCCGCCATTACCCACAGGCTCAGGGGCTTTGCGTGTGCCAGAGTCTTAATGAGCACGCAGGAAGACGTGTTCCTGCTGCCACTGCTGCTGCATCACAATGCTGATTGGCCAGAGAACTTTATTTAAGACAAAAGCAAAAAAACAAAACAAAAACAAAGACAGCAGTAAATGAGAAGGAAAATCTGCTGCAACTCATCAGCACCAGCTGAACTGCCTGTTGGTTCTGCCTGAAGGAAAACATGACTTGGTTCCAGATTCTTCTCTGGAGATTTTTTTTTTTTTTTTTTTCTGTTTTCAAATTATACAAAGCTTAATGTAAGCTATGAAACGTTTGTTACTTTACTGACTTCTAATACAACAGTGAAAAAATGTATTAGTTTAAAATTGAAAATTAACTTTACATGACTGAGAGAGTGAAACTTTGAACAACTGATTAGTCGTTTCTTTCAAATCCAGATGAGATGACGTTCCCAACTTGAGTTTACAAAAAACATATCCTTCTTTTAACAGTGTTTTTTAACTACGTTACATCATGGTTTGTTGAATCACATATGTCTCTCTTGATAAGTTCTAATGCTTTATTTTGAGATGTGCTAATAAAGTACTTCATTAAGATTTACTTTTAATAATAAACTTGCTATGTACATTAGGTATTTGACCAAGACTAAAAACACCAAAAACACATACTTTTGCAAGTAAACCTTTGTGACTTGACTATGATGTGAAAACATTAAAGGTAGCGTTGATTACATTTCAGTTCTTTCTCAAGAGATTTGATGATCCTGTCTGAGCTTCAGCATAGATTAATAGGGCAAATGTGGTAGAAAACATCACACCACAGTCAAATAGCAAACCGTGGCCTCACCTTCTCCTCCCTCCCCTCCACCACTCATGGTGTGTCAGTGTCAGAGTGTTTGCTAGCTGATGAAAGGAGACAGAAGTCGGCAGCAGGGCGATGAATGAATGTGTTTTGGCACAGGAGGAGTCAATAGTCTCGATTCGACTCGATCAATCGTCTTTGATACACATTGCAGTCAAATTACCCGCAGACAAATTAACTAAACAAGAGTTTCCTCCACAGCAGCGGCGGTGGTAGAAAAAAAGATGTTGTGGAAACCAATAACAGAAGAAGGGAGGGAAGAAGGAGAGCAAGGGATTGAAGGAGGGAGAGGCAGGGTGGAGCTGGTTTGTGTTGAGAAAAGACAGCGCGTTGCCTCACTTATATTATCACTGGAGTACAAAAGGCTCTCATATATTTGGTGGCTTTTCTGTGGCATAAAGCTGATTAGCCAGAGCTTCACCAGACGCCATTGTAAAGGAAAATCACTTCTACGGTTTTTAAGCAAGTGATTTTAAATCCCTTCTCCATCTTTTTTTTTTTTTACATTATTTAAGATTACACAGCAAGGGCCTAATCAGCTGATCCTTAATCATCAGGATTGAACCGCTTTGTGTTTCCCTGCAACATCTATGCCGTTGCTGACTGCCGGTCTGATGACAGAGGTTATGAGGAAGGGTTGTTGAAAGCCCCAGAAAGAAAGGAAAGAAAGAAGGAAGGAAGAAAATCTGTTCCATAATACTTAATCGCCTTAAATGGGTTGGGCTTTGACTCCATCTGTGACACTGCTAGATTCATCTGTTGTCATATCCAAATAGAGATCATAAGGTGGGGGAGGGTTGAGGTAAGTCGAGCAGGAGACAGATAGGTATAGCGAAAGGAGGCAGCGTCAGAGCTGAAAAGAAATAACAAATCAATTACCAAAAAACGTTATTTTTATTAGAGGTGAAACAGATGTGTGGAGTTGACCTTGGGCACTGACATCTCCACATTTGTTGTTCTTGGAGTGATGTCTGGTATCTCTTTCTTTCTTTGTTTTAATAGCAGTCAAAGACCTGGTACCTCAGACAACAAAATCCGACTTGACAGCAGGTGCCACTCATGTTCGTGGCTAGGAGGGTAAACACACACACACTTTCAATCTCCTGACTGTTGCTCACACATGAGAAATATATTTAAAAAAGGTTGTATGTTTGGCAAGCAGACAGTTTTTGTACAGTCACTGCGTGTTGCGTGTTTAGTTTGTGTTATGTTTGTCGCATACGGTTAAAAAGATTCCATTCAGAAAGAAAGAACAAATTAATGGTTAAAGAATCTACTTCCAAAAGGGGAGAGTAGAAACCACATGCTCTAACCACATGACAGAGTGAGGCCAACGTGCTGGTTGTCATTTACTTTAAAGATCACCATAAACAAAATAAATTGACCAGGTGAATAATTAAACTGGTTCGCAGGTTGAATCAGCCAAGTGAAGCGTCCACTGCTGAGCAAACGGCGCTGACCAACTTCATAGCTGTGTAGGATGACCAGGAACAGATTATAATCTATTTTTTACCCCAGTTCCACGGCTGTATGTTCCGGAGAAATTTCCGTTTCTTGGACATGTTTTTCTCTCTGTATGTTTTGAGTTGGAGAGAATCACTGGGGGCACTGGGGATACTTTCTAACTCTGAGCTCCACCTGCCGGACAATTTTGTGTGCACCGCGCTCTCGTAGCGAGTTAGCAGTTGTTCAAGCTCTTGCACTTTTAGAGAGAGGAACAGCACACGAGATTTGGCTGCCTTCAGCTTCTGCTTCATCTCGTGATCACCACGTTGAAGGTCCAGTTCTCTGTTCCTGTTTTCCTTCTGGGCAATTTCTTCCTTAAGTTTTTCTAAATTATGCTTAAAAGTTTGCTTCGTGGCGTGGTAACATAGCTGTACCTCATCCAGCTCTTTAAAATAGGCCTTCTCTTTTTTCTCCACTGGTGTCAGCACTCGGTCCCGCTCAGCTTTGGCAAGGAACTCTGCCCTCTCGCGCATGTGACGCTGCCACAGTTCATCAGAGTGTTTATTTCCCATGGTTAAGGTGCTGGGTTGAAACACATTTGCAGACAAGTCTTTGTTTTCTTTGTCCTGCGCTGGCTCCATCAGCTGCCTCTCTACGTGAAAAGCCTTTTCCAGATGAAGCTGCAGTTTAATTTGCACGACTTCCTTCTGCAGCTCATCCCTCTCCTCCCTGAGCGACTCCCTCTCTGCCCTCTCCAGTGCGCACTCATTGGTGACCTTCAGGACGTTCTTTTTGAGGCCATCCACTCCATTCAACAAGACACTTGTGTATTGATCCAAGTTGGCCCTCAGCTGTTCCCTGAGACGCCAGTCTTTTACTTTTTGGATCAGCTCCTTAAATCTCTGCTGACTCTCTTCAAAGTCTTCCGTCAGCTGGGAAGACATTTTGGCCCTGATCTTTTGACCATTACAGATGCCTGCTGCATATGATGACTGGAAAAGACACAGTGAGTGATTTTGTCATGAATTCCAACACTTTGATGTATTGATCAAAGGCATTATAGTACATTATTACTCTGAGAGGCGAAACGTCTTCACAAAAAAAAAAAAAGAAAAAAAATTGTCCAGTTGCTTTCGATGTAACTGACTGAGAACCTACACAGACATCTTAAAGTACACAAGTTTATTTTACCTGGTGAACTAACAGGATTGATATGGGTACCAAGGGAGTGAAACTGGGAGAAACGTCATGATCAACGGATACAGATACTGATATTATTGCAAGAGCATCAACCTGACATCAACAGTTTTGTTCAGGTAAGGACTCGCCTTGTACCAGATTGTCACAAAACTGCAACACAAACATGCAGCTAGTAACTGCTGATGCTGCTGGAAAAAAATGTTGATCCACCCCAGATGTTAACTGTAACTTTTGTATGTTGTATATTTTGCTGAAATATAAGCAAAGTGACAGAGCCAAAAGCAGCTGCATCCTCCTGTTCTGCACATCTAGTCACATCAGTATATATAAAAAGTACTTTGCGATACTTTTTGGAACAGATCAAGGTTCTGCAGGCTTTGAGGAAGCCATTCCATTTATGTCTAATTTTCTTGCACTTTGTTTAAACCCCCAGTTAAAACTCTTCTTTTTCATATGCATATAGAAAAAAAGCAAACATGTACAAACATGTAATACATATACAGGGTTCCTCTAATTGCTAATAGCCTTTTCTATAACTTTGACGTGTTAGTAACGAGACTATGAGTGACTGCAGGTGTGACTGTTAGTATGAACGACCCTGTAATGAATGGTGAACTAACCAGTGTGAACCCTGTCTTTTTTCTGTTGACTGCTGGTTTTGGTCCTGAGCTAAAGGTTTTGATAGGCGGGTGAGCCTGACACTGTGGAACCCAAGATCTGACCAGTTACAACATGACCCACTGTACCTACTCTGCTACACCTCAAGTCTTATAGGAACATCAAATAATACCTTTAGGCTTTTCTTTTTTCTTTTGCATTTTGTGCTCCTTTATTACTGACAGATTATGAATCACAGGATAAAAGTGTGCCTGGCTGGAGACCACAGTGGAACCATGTGAAGAAAGGGAAAAGGGTAGAATAGTGCTGTGCGTTTTTCTTCCTTCAGCATTTTTGTCAAATAAAACCACTACATTTTTAATGCATCATGAATTTCCTATGACATAATGCAGCTCTTTGTTTTTGCATGCCTTCCCTCCTGGCTTGGTTATTATTGAATGGGGGGTTGGGGGTAGTTCAAATGGATACATGTGAACTAGGGAAACTAAGAAATCATGCAGCCACATGAAAACATGTCAAAGCAGAGTCATTAACGCTTAGAGTTAACATTTAGAGAGTTTTGATCCTCGTTAAATAGAATGGTTAATACATTAAAAAACAACCTTTGTAGAAATGTGAAATATCTAATAAAACTTGGACATGTTTGAAATTACTGTGCTGTCATATCCTCATCAGCATGCATTATTAAACCTTCCTTTTTTATTTCCAGGTATATTTTGCTTTGAAATAATAACCAGATTAAAAAAAAAAAACAATATTATGAATCAGGTTAAAATGATTTCTCTAGAGCTTATCAAGAACCTCAGCCATCATTTTATCTTTAAAATATCTCATTAACTCACTGTCGCCCCCTCCTGCTGACTTTTTTTCCTATCTATTCTGTAGTTGCCCTTTTTCTACCTCCCTTTATCATTTTTACACTCTCCCTCTACCTGCGACCTCTTCTTTGGACCACTTGAAACCTCCCACCCCAATTAAATTTACAGATCTGTTGGGGAGGCGGCTCCCCCCTGCAGGTTAATTATGTCATTATGCGCTTGTTGATGAGATTGTTTGATGAAATATGAGAGTAATAAAAATACATGGCCAAAGGCAATATTAAAATAAGAGGGAAAGAAAGATAAAGTGAGAGAGATCACATCAGTCACTCTTTACCATCAGCTTCTTCATTCACTTCACAAAATGAATGTCGATGCTGATGCAAGCGGGCTGGAACACAAATAAGATGCGCCCAGTGCTTGCACAGACGCAGGTCTTAGGTCTGGAGGGGAGAAAACCGTTCCTGCCAAAAATGTTATTTCTATGCAAATGAAAGGATTGGAATTAAGAAACCAGGAAGTGCAGTTGGATACGAGTACCACTGGTTGTAATGGCAAAATGAAATCTCATATCACTATAGTAAAGTGGGACATAAAGATGATGATGAAGAGACAAGAGGAGGAGGAACAGGAGGAAGAGTGAGAGAGAGGTGGGTGACAGAATGATGTTCAGTGGAGGGAAAAAGTTGCAAACATAAAACCCCAGATTGTTGTGCTCATCTACAGATGTGCTGCACCCTGAATTAGATAGGTGCTGGTGTTCAGGTTCCTAGTACAAACAGGATGTGAGCATCCTTAATTTGTAAACTAGTAATTGGCATTTCAGGTTTTTGGAAGTCTGGTAAAATGTGCTGACTGTGCTGTAAATGTTGTTTATGGCTGGCAACTCGATGACAAATCATTGTTGGTTGTGGAGTTGCTTTCAGTGCAACTCACAAAATGAAATGATTTTAGGAACGTAACACAGACACATAGTAGCATTTACACCTGCTGAGGTCTGGGAAATTTGGCAGGGTATACCGGCCATAAGACCAAGCGTGTTTCTATGTTTAGTACTGTATAGTATAATGTTGCTGCCAGTATCATCGAAACTCTTTGGACCTTAGCAAGAGCAATTAAGAAGGGATGAGACTTAGCCACAGTTCAATTGAACAAATGCAATGGCCATCAATTTAAATCATGAGCTACTAAAGACCTTCAACCTGTTTACTGAAAAATAAATCGATTGAAGAGCAGCCATATTTTCCATTAACTTGAAAGCAAATGCTTTTCTTTGTGGCTGAGCCGAACTATTGTCACTTCCTCCCATCTTTAGTCCAGAATCAGAGAGAGATAATTCAATCTGCCGTGGAGTAGACATTATCTAGTAATGGATGTGGAATAAACCACAAACCTTTACGTCGTGCCATGCTGTAGTAAGATGTGTAACGGAAAACATTATGAAAAGGTCTTCTCACTTCATCATCGTCATCATCATCATCATGGTGGCATCAGCAAAACTGTTTCAAAGCCACTATTCAAATAATGAAACATTAATGACGCTGCGAGCAATTATATCACTCCATAGTTCATTTATTATACATTTGTTGCTTCCTGCTGCCGCCCCAAACATCCGGCTCTCCAACTGCGTGGCAGGTTAGAGCCCAAGTGTTAGCGGCTGATGCTCTTTGCCACTATTAAGAGAATTAAATCCATCTAAGAGGCCTCTCTTAGAGAGAACATAAATTCCCCATTATCTCTCCTCCGTCTCCTCCTCCAACGCTTTCCTCCAGCTGATTTTTTACCACTGTGCACACATTTACCCCCGCAACACTGTCTGCTCGGGACGCTCAAAGCCCCCGACAGATAAAAACAAAATCAGGGGAATGAGCATTTGGTTCTGTGTTTTCTTCCCCCTTCTCTGCTAATGTCTTGTTGGTGACAAACAAACAAAAAAAGAGGTATTAACATCAAATCCTTGGGCACCCATGGAGGTTGATGATGGTGTAGCTGCAGGATGTGAGCCACTGATAGACTGTGGCTTTTCTTGTTTTTCTATTGTATCTCTTTTTCTCTTTGGCTCTAAACCTCAGCAGCAGTTTATAATTTAAAGACATAATTATTATTTTTTAATTGTGGACACAAAATGTTTTAATTGTAGAGACAAAATATTGACTACATTAAATATAAGCCATGCTAGGACAAAAATATATATATAAGAATATAGGAGTTGTTTGGAATCAATTCAATAGAAATAGCTATTTTTACTGTCACCAGAAATTTGTTTTGTCACAGCTATAAATGGATTAAAAATTAGACATTTAAACTCAGTGATTTAGGTAGAATGTCTATGAACCTAAAATCAATGTCTTTATAAGAACTTCAATATTTTTCTTATGGCTTCTTCATATCATATAAAAACACATTTAGAGAAAAAAAAAATGGAGGAGTGGAGGTATGCACATGTGCACCATAAATAATGTATGCTGGATGTCTCCATAATGCACCGTGTTGTATTACAACACCCACAGGTGTAATTGTTACAGTATGAGGTCAACAATAAGGAATCAATGTTGCATCAAACTAAAAGATTGATCATCTCTGACACCACACGTTCACAACCACACGTTCACCTGCAATCTCTGTCCAATTCACACGTTTAAGGTGAGAGAAATGCAAATGTATTCATATAACATTTGCAACAGCAAAATACAAAAGTTACACTGAAAAGTTCCCACTGAAAGCTCTCCATTGAAAAAACAAAAATTTAAACCACAGGATCTGCCTGACACTGCTGCCCCGTGTGGTAAATTTGTGTTACTGACATCTAATCTGTGCTGCTTGTGAATTACAGAATTACACATCAGACAAATTGTCATTATGAAGTTGAGAAAAAGAAAAAAGTTGAGAAAAAACACTCGGGTTTGTTAAGACATCCATTGAAAATCAGCCAACATGGGTGTAACTGGCTAGATATTACTGTGACATCTAGGTGTGGTGAAGCCATTCAGAACAAGTCGCACTAGTTAACAACCATAGACAAAACAAAACAAGGGGGTCCTCAACTTAAGGCAGAGTTCCGTCCGTATGGTGTGCCATAACTAGATTTACCACGTGTCACACACTTATGCTAACACAGTGATAACAGTGATTGTTTTCTAGGACATAAAATCATCAGAAGTGACTGACTTACACCTGGGAACCATAATGAAGGGCAAAAAGTTCCCATAAAAAGAGAAACGAAAACAGAATACAACAAATACAGCGCTGTGTGACGACATAGCCATGATTGTCTGTGAAGTGGCAATTTTTCTTAGAACCTATTTGTTACATAAATGAAAATGGGTGAGGACCTGTTGGTGTTGTTTTTGTTT